AAATCAAAACTAAACCAAAAATATACCAGCATTAAGAACAGAAAGCCCTCTGAATGGTATTTCAATTTAGGGAAACAGAAGTTGCTCTACATGTTTCTTATCAAACACCCTTCAATCTCCAGTGAGCAGAGTTCTTGATGGCATTGCAGCATAGTGCTTGCTTCTCAAACTGGGCTGTGCACACAGACCACCTGAGGTTCCTTCTCATGCAGATCCCACTCAGTTGATCAGAGCTGGGCCTGGGACTCCACCTGTCTAACCCACTCCAGCCCTGTCTTCTCTGTGCCCACAGTAGCCTGCCCTCAGGGCTATAATGTCATCCTCGCCCCCTGCCTCTCCTGCCAGTCTCCATTTCCAGGCAACTCTCTTTAATTAGATCGGGTGTTATCACTGTAACTGGACAGTCTCATATGTAAGTTCAGGATCTAGGAAAAGTTAGGGGAAAAAACAGGATTCCTCAGTGTTTTTTTTATCCCGTAATGGCAAGTGATTTGATTTGTTTGGCAGAAGGGCAGAGCAGTGGACCGGCCTTGGTGCTTCAGTTTGTCCAAACATCAGATTGCCGAACAGTGCCTTGAAAGAGTCTAGTGAGAGTCTCAAGAAAGCTGGTCTCTTTGGGAGCCAGACACTTCCTTTAACCCTAAGGCTTATCCTGGCCCTTACAGATGTCATCCAGCTAATACAGTACCTAGGCCCTGTCCTGAGGAGAAGGCTGGACTTTGATGAAATAATTCAGTGCAGGTGGGACAGGTTATTTAGCTCAGTGGTTCTGCTACCTGCTTCGCAAGTGCAAACGAACTGAGTTCGATTTCCCCGTACCAAAAAGAAAAAAGAAAATTCAGTGCAGCTATCGGTGAGAATTCAATTTCATGAAGTAAAATGCTGCCTTTTTGAGGGATGGCAGAGGTGTGCGTTTACAAGATTCCTCTCTCCAGAACTCAGCATTGTAAAGCCCCAAATATCTTTAATTCATCTTTGATTCAAAGTAAGATGAGACCAAAGGCCACCAGCTTCTGAGCAGGAATTCTTAAAAGTATCTGATACCTTTGAGAATGCAGATCCCTGAGTCAAATTATCTTACTAGATAAGTAGATCAACTGTTGCTGTGCCTACTGTCACTCATTTTAGATTGCATCTCTTTATTTTGTGCATTGTCATCATCGAATGGAGTCTGAGTTTTTTATGAAGTAGATAAGTAATAAAAGATTTATTTTAATAGCTCCAAGGACTATTGACTTTCTGAGGCTATAACTATTTGTCATAAGAAACTACTTGTTCAAATGTTTGCTGGAGGGAACTATTTCTAAATTCCATTGTAAAAGGTTGATTTATGCTGTGACCTTGGGTGCTGATCACCTCCTAGATCTGGTTCTGATTAATTCATACAGTTTAAATGGGTCCTCAAAGGAACTCAGAAATGGGAGTATAGCTAAAAGCATTCAGTGGTACACAAAAATTATTAGTCTACTAAAATGAATAAATGTTGGGCCAAGGATTTAGCTCAGTGGCACTGCTCCTGCCTCATTAGCACAAGATCCTGAGTTCGATCTCTGGTACCACAAAAAAAGAAAGAAAGAAAAGATGTTGCTAACAATTAACTTTAAGACACAAAGTAGAATCTCAGATTATTTATTTATCTGTGTGACACACATTCAGCTCTTCAGGAAGTCTTTCTCTTCCTTGACCCTTGGTCTCTGCTCCTTGATTGTACCTGTGTAACAAATTACCCTGAGCTTAACCCCTTATAGCAGCAAGCTTGCATCCTCTCAGTTTCTATCAGGAACTGATACAGCTTTGAAGAGTCCCCTAAGGCTATATAGTCAAGGGGTCAGCTGGGACTCTGGTCTTTCTCTCTCTCTCTCTTTTTTTTTTTTTTTTGAGGTAGTTCAGGCTGCCCTTGAACTCCCGGTGAAGCCCAAACTGGCCTTGAACTTGGCTATCCTCCTGCTTCAGCCTCTGGAGTGCTGGGATTACAGGTGTGCACCACCATGCCCAGCTCCAGCTCTGATCTGTTTTGAACACTCATTCAGGGAGGAGGAGGCCCTCTTCCAGATCCATTCACAGAGTTGTTGGCAGGATGCAGTTCCTTACTTGTGGGCTGATGATGAGCGCTCTTAAGAGGATCCAGATGCCTTTGAGAATGCAGATCCTTAAGTCAACAAATTGTCTTTTTAGATAAAGTAGACTGAGTATTGATGTGCCTACTGTCATTTATTTTAGATTGGATCTATTTATTTTGTGCTTTGACAGTCTAAGTGTCTTCCCTCTGTTCTTTGCCATGCTGGCCATTCCACTGAGCTGTTTACTTGACAGCTTTTGACCTCCAGAGTGCGGGATGGGGTGCAGCTTCGGGTCCTGGTCTTTTTCTGGCCTACTCTGTGAGGGGGCATCCCATCTCTGTTCTCTTTATTGGAAGCAGGTCACTAGGTCTGGCCGACACTCAGGGTGGCACAAGGATGTGACTGTCACCAGGCAGGATCTTTGGGGACCATCTTAGTCTTTCTGCCACATACAGTCAGGGCTGGGGGAATGTGAGCTGACCCTCCCGTCCTCCCAGGCTGCCATCCTTTGCACACCAGGGTTCCAGCCCTCCTCATTCACAGTGAGCCCTGGTGGGTGACTTGATTTAGCGGCTGTGCTGTGGACCAGGGACTGGTGGTTAAACAGGCAGGTACCATTTATTCTATGAATTATGTAAAGGGGTTTTTGTTCACTTGTATTTTGTTTTTTAAACTTCTGAAGAGAAAATTAAGAGAATGGTGGGCCAAAACCAGAGGTCCACTCTAAGATGATACAAGCTTGTGGGGTGGGTGGGTAGGTGGCAATGGAATTTAGAAAGGCTCCTCCCCCTGCATTCGGGTCTCAGCTTACTCATCACAGTGTCAGAAAAGCTTTCCTTTACCATCTAAACTAGCCCCTGCTCCCCATCAAGCCCAGAAAACTCTTTGACTCAATTCCCTGCCTGTTTACTTGTTTATTATCTTTCTCTCCAAAAGAACTAATTGCTGGGAGAGCAGGGACCTCCTCTGTTTGGGTTACCCACACATGACCAGCACTTCACATGGGGCCTGGCTAGTACATGGACACAGGGGGCTTTTTGGAAATTATAATATGATGTGGTTCCATTAATGTGCATGATATACTGTTAAAAAGAAAAAAAAAGCCGGACTCAAAATTATGGGTTAGTTTTGTCCCTGGCAGTAAGGCCTAGTAGGCCAGCCATTCAGCAAGTCACATCACCTCTCTAGGCCTCGGTTTCCTCAGAAGATGAAAAAGGGGCCTGGTGATCAGGGTCCTTGGACTGTGCTCCATCACCAGGCCCCACCTGACAATGCAAGTCCTGGGTCCTGCTACATGAAAGTGTCTATGGTTTCAGTTCTCAACGTTGGTCTACCATTCAAGCTTCAAGAAAGGGTTCTGTGCCAAAACAATGTATGCTCACTCGTGGCTGTGCTAACTCTACAGAAGCAGATACCCATGGCAATTCTGTTTTGGTTTTGGTACCGGGGATCGAACTCAGGACCTTGCACTTTCGAGGCAGGTGGTGGAACCACTGAGCTAAATCCCCGGCCCACCCATGGCAATTCTGGTGTATAAGGGTAGAGACTCAATGCCTCAGAAGCTTCAGCCCAGCAGGATTTCTAACTGGAAGAGCAATCCACGTGATACCCACTGAGACCCAGAAAGAACCCTTCCATGAACGTGAAGAGTCCTGTCCCAAAGTTCAGCTGACCACTAATAAGCTAGATAAGAAAAATAAATTCTGGAGTTCTATTCCATAAAAGGGTAACTGTAGGTAACAGTAGTGGACTGTATATGTCAAGTAACTAGGGAAGGGGATTTTGAATGTTTTCACCATAAAGAAATGATGCTTATGACAGTAGATATGCTTAGCCCGATTTAAACATTACACAGTGTGTATGTGTACTAAAACATCATGCAGTACCCTATAAAATTTTTCTGTTTTTATGTCAGTTAAAAACATTTTTTTTTTTTTTGGTACCAGGGATCGAATTTGGGACCTCATGCTTGCGAGGCAGTTGTCAGAAACACTGAGCTAAATCCCTAGCCCATCAGTTTAAAAAATTTAAAATAATGAGTACTTAGTAGAAATATAAGGTAAAGCAGGGTCACTGTGTTTCATAATAGGGTATTGTGTGCGTGAAATTTGCTAGGAGAGTAGATGTTTTCTCACTACCCCCACACAGAAGGTAGCTGCGTGAAGTGATGGATATGTTAATTCATTTGGTTGTAGCAATCATTTCACAAGGTGTACCTATGCCAAGACATCCTGTTGTACATTTAAATATATACATTTTTACCTCGATGAAACTGGGGAAGAAAAAACTCCTTTCTTTCCCTACGCTCAGCCTCACACCATGCTGATGCCTACCTCCTGCTGCTTTCAAATGTTAACATCGATTTTTCTTTTTTTTCACATTGACTTACTCATTTCAAGATTTCCTTTCTGGCGCCACATTTCCCACCAGATAGCCAGAGCTTTGAGCACCAAGTTTTATAATTAAAATTCTGTCACATCCCCCAAAACAGTGCAAATGGTGCCATTAAGCCTGGCAGAAAAGATTCCTAAGCACTTCACCTAGTAATCTAAATATAATACTTCTGGCAGCATGCAACTTGGGGTATTTTTAATTCCGATTAGAGCACTATTACTGAACATTAATATCCTCTATATGGTGCCGTTGTGGCTCTGCGCTTTGGTTTGGCCATCAGGCTTTTAAATAAACAGCTTGGTTGCGTGGCTGAAGCAGCCCACATGGTTTCTCATGGCCTTTGGGAATCACCAGTCCCAGGCATAATTAGTATAAATCAAAATCTTCTACACTGTGACAGGGAAATGGTATGTTTCAACAGCAGCTTATTAAAATGACCTACTTAATTTAAGGAAAATAATGTATCTACTTGCATGGTAACCTGGATATCCTCGCGGACTCCTGACTCATAGTCTCTCTCTCTCTCTCTCTCTCTCTCTCTCTCAGAAGAGGAACGGGAATGGAAAGGCCCATTCTACTTCATCCAGGGTGCAGACCCACAGTTTGGACTGATGAAGGCCTGGTCCACCGGGGACTGTGACCATGGTGGTGATGAATGGAGCCAGGAGATCCGCCTCACAGAACAGGCTGTCCAGGCCGTCAACAAACTGAACCCCAAACCCAAATTCTTTGTTCTGTGCGGTGACCTTATCCATGCCATGCCAGGTAAGACTGGGGTTGTCATTTATGACCTTTTCTCCTTCACACAGTCATAACCGTGTGTGGGCAATTAAAAGGAAAGAAAATGATCTTGCTCCAAACACATCTTTATTCGGTAGTCGCTCATACCTTCTCAAGACTATCATAGTATCACTGAACATCAGAATTTTCCTCTCCAAAGTACAAGGAATGTAAGCACTCATTTTATATTTAGAATTTAGCAGGATTAATCACAGTAATTAGGTAGAGCTACAGTCCTGATGATCTGAGTTTAATATGAAAAATGGACCAGATTCCCCCATGTCACCTTTCTGCATTTCCAGGAACAAACTTGAACTGTTTCCAGATAATGTTCTCATAAATGTAGTCTCCCTTCTTTCTTCTTACCCTTTTATTTCTCTCAGATTTGTTGGTGCTTTTTTCAATTGCAAGTTAAAGAAATTCACCTGAAACTGGCTTAAATTTTTTTTTTAAAAGTACACATTGCCTCATGAGACTGTAAAATACAGGGGAAGATCTGAGCTTCAAATCTGGATTGAGCTGAATCCAGGAGCTCAGAGGTTGTTGTCAGGACTTGGTTGCTCTATCACTCAGCTTTACTTTCCTCTGGTTTGCATACAGATTCTCTCTAATGTCTCTTGAGAGCTGCAGGTTTATATCCCCCCGCAAATCTTAACAAAAAGGAAGTCTGATGAGAGTCAGGGTCTCTGTGCTCTGCAGTGGAGGTCAGCTCTACTGCAACTTCTTGGTCTGAAGAACAGGATGATTTCTCTAAAGAAAAGTAAGATGCCAGAAATGGAAAAAAATAACAAATATATATGTCTTCTGGGACTGTGTTGCCTTATTTTTCCTCTCTATCTGATATCCTTTCTCCCAGTCAGAGGTAAAGCCCAGTGAACAAGGGTAAGCAAATAGAAAGTAGCCCCGCCCATCGTGGAAGCAGAGCTCGCTCCCGTGGCCTCTGCCCCTTACCTGTGTCCCAGTCTATTTAGTGGAATAGAGTTGACCTGCAGATCATGCCAGAAACTTCAGCAGTGGCTGTGAATGTTTGTTTTGGGATAACTTTACTTGTAAAGTAGGACCTATCATGCTTTCTATTTCCTCTGGAAACCAAGGCACTCTGCAGGAAGCCTGTGCGCATCAATTTTTACCCCTAAGCCTCACTTGTCAGCTGCCTTTTTGTCCAGAACAAAGGCCAGAGTGAGGTTGTGAAAACAGAAAAAGGGCAGCCAGAATTTTCCTCTTCAAAGTGTAAGAAATGTAAGCAGCAGGGAGAACCCTCATTCTCCATTTATTCATATTTTACACCGTTGTACATGTGGACATGTCCATGTACTTGAGAACCCAGTGATGCCACACCTGCACCTGTCCTATACAGTGGTAGCAAGAATAGGAAAAAAGGGATATAAAACAGGGAACAAAGCCAAGTTAGAACCTAACTAGGGTTGCCAACCCCACCATGTGCTACTATGGATGTGTGAATGCAGATAAACTCCTTATCTTCTTAGAACCCTAGTTTCTGAGTTAAGAACCCATGGAACCAATAAGAATTTAAAACCTCAACTATTTGGGCCTACATGGTACAAGGACAACAGTTCCATACCTGTGCAGTAGAGATTACCATCCTGCAGGTCTGTACAGAAGCACATTTGCAAGGATAGTCCTGAGTCGGTCTTGGGTTTTTTTTTGGTATGGGGATTGAACTCCAGTCTTTGTGCTTGCGAGGCAGATGCTGAAACCACTGAGCTAAATCCCTGGCCCTTGAGTTTGTCTTTTAAAGAGGTAAAGTCTTAGCTGCTGGGTCTTAACTACTTGTAAATTTGCCCACCCTCTGTGACTTGTGACTGAGAGTGTGGCCAAAATCATGCACAGGAAGTGTCTACAATTCCTGGCTTCTAAAGGAGTTAGAGCTCAAGACCAGCCTGGGCTGCATAGTGAATTCCAGGTCAGTCTCAACTACATAGTGAGACCCTGTCTCAAAAAACCAAA